AATGCCTAGAGAATGCATTCTGTCAAGAAACATAAAACGAGAGTGATTCCCATAGCCCCTGTTGGTCTCAGGGAGTAGTGGAAGGTCACTTATTTAGAACTGTGCCTGGACACCAGCTCAGTTGCCTTGAACTGTGAAGAAACAACTTGATTCAGCAAACTGAAGACAGTGCTTTTGTGGATACATGAAGGGTATCTTGAGACATGATCCAACTCCACAGGGCCAGGTCAACAGAGCTGTCCAACATCCAGAGAGAAGTATCCAGGTCCTGGAAGAGGGATGTGGCACCAAGGGGGACCCCAGAATATCCTCAAAACCCACTGAAATGGCCTCCATAATGACAAGTCCATCCACATCAAAGTGCTGTGCCCGGTCTTCTCTCTCTGAAGTGGCATCAGATCGTTCACGTTCAATGTCTACTTTCAAACTGTTTTCCCCGGTGCCTCTAGTGTGAAACCAAGGTTGTGAGCACTTCCCTGGGCAGGAGCATCAGACACACATCCTTTCTGCATATGTGCTTTCCCACAGTGCACACTGGCAGCCATGTTAATTTGCTAGAGCCTGCCGTGACTCCTGGGGGAGCTTGTGTATTGCAGTGAGAAAGAAGAAAAGCTAGTAGGATTTCCAGAAGTTTTGCTAAAGCATTTATGGACCAAAGTTGCAGCTTTTTCTCTCTCTAACATACACATGTTGGAATGCTTTATCCTGTATTTAAAATTACATTTGGAGGGCTCAGCATGTAATCCTTAAAGTAAAATCTAGGTACTTTTAACTACCAGCAGTCATGAACGGCTATGTGTGATAGTTTAGAGTAAATGTTTAGACCAGAAGCAAAAATAGAACCCACATTTCAGCCAGAAACAGAAACAAGTTCCCAAACAATGGAGTCAAGGAGAAGACTGAGTATCTGTATGGCTAGAGATTGTCTAGCCAGCCTATTTTCTTTCATTACATGCAAAAAAGAAAAGACCATCTTTACCTCCTAGGTGGGATAAGGAAACACCTGACCTGGGACAAACTTGTAATTCCTCTAGGTAGTCTCAGTTCCCTTGTGGGTGAAGTGCCCTGGATACCTTCAGGAATCGTGGCATGTATATGTGAAGTTGGCATGTATAAATATTTAGCACATTAAGAGGCCTACAGTACTCTTTCTCTTACATGTTTATAACTAAGAACTAGACTTCTAAACGTGTAGGGGATCTTTTCCTCAAAAGTCAGGGCAGCACTTTAGTAAAAGATACATCTTTTACTAAACTTTAAACTGATTAAGATGAAAAGATATTCATTCTTCGAACATGTGCGCTAAGAACTTACATGCAGACACAGGGTAGATATTGAAATTGAAAGGTTCCCTGGTATACAGAAGGCCTGTGATTTCCTCGTGTGGTTCTAGTGTGAAGAGAAATAAGACCCTCAGTTCTGAGATGAAAAGCCCTAAGTAACTCAAGAGAGGCACAAAGTGCTTTGTCCACTGAGAAAAGAGAAATTACTTCTGGTTAAGAGATATGGAGAAAGTTTTCAGGACTTTTCCACTTGAGCTAGAATGGAAGGAGTTTTTTTAATTATTTATTTTTATTTTATGTGCATTGATGTTTTGCCTGCGTGTATGTCCATGTGAAGGTGTCGGCTGCCCTGGAACTGGAGTTGTGAGCTGCTATGCGGGTGCTGGGAATTGAACCCGGGTCCTCTGGAAGAGCAGTCAGTGCTCTTAATCTCTGAGCCATCTCTCCAGCCCTCCAAGGAGTTTGAACACAAGAGTAAGAGGGGAATAGTACCTGATATAGCTGGCATGTAGAGCCAATTGGTGGAGGTAGCCATGTTTAAAACTTTCTTAGGCTTTACATCAACAACATTGCTTAGTTAATGCGCAGTGCTAGCCCTCTCAAAGACTGTGGAATTTATTGCTGAGGACAGACAGTGACTAGTAAGAATTTCCCCGTTTGCTTTATACAGGGTCCATGAGCCCATGGATGTAGTAGTCACCTATGATTTAAGGAATTCTTGCCTATTGTCCTCATTTCTGTTCTTTTATATCATTTATTTTCAACTTGTATGTGTGCTTTATGTGAGTGTGCACATACATGCATGGGTGAGTGTGTGCGCATGTGAACGTGGAAGCCACGTGTCTGAGTCAAGTGTGCTTTCCCAGTGGTTCATTCTCCACCTTAGTTGTAAAGACAGGGTCATTCACGTACCAGTTGGCTAGACTGACCATTGAGATCCAGGGATCCTCCTGCCTCTGTCCCCAACCCATCGTTACAGTTCTAGGCATGTGCCACCACTGATGGCTTATGTATGATTGCTGGGGATTCAAATTTAGGTAGTGATGGCTGGAGGCACCTTACCATTTGTGCCATCTCCAAAGGCCTCCATCACCATTCTCGATACCTGAATTCCTTTAAAGACTGATTGTAGTAAGTTATTATCTATTAGTCAGTAACTTTATGTCCGGTACAGTGCAGATACTGAGGACAGAGGTAGTGGAACTGTGTCCCCACTCGGGAGAAGCTCCAATCTGCTGTGATAGGGAGGTAGTTAAAAAAGATCACAACACAGTAAGATATGTGAGCCTTAGAACTGGTCATCAGAAAAGAGCACAGAATCCACTCTGCCCAATTAAACGTCCATTTATGTAACTAGCCCCTAGGAGTGTTACAGTGTGGCCATGACTGTGGGTTACTTCCCAACCCCTCATGATGTTTTGACCCACACAACAACTCCCCCAGCTCCAACTCGTGGGTATCCAGAGGACCCAAAGAGTGGTCACAGGGACACCAAGACACTCAGGAAGTGGGAGGGTGATGCGAGCAGAAGCCAGGTAGCAGGCCAACTCCAAAAACAGGGACCAGAATTGATAGGTAGAAAGGAACCATTAAAGCAAAAGATAAGCTAAAATGTTCTCTTCAAGGTAGTGACCATGAGATAGATAATAATTGCTCTCTGAACAGATCCTAGCTGGAAGATTCATTTGCATCACCATCATCTACATTGGAAAACCTCTCTTTAACGGTTGTTCTCCAGTATAGTCTGACCTGGTGATGCACTCTGTTCTCGGCTGGATATAGTCAGTTGTTGCCTCAAGTGGGAAGCTTTAGTGGGCAGTGTGGTATAGACACTCAGACCTATGACAGTTGTCTGTCCACAACTTTGCAGCTATATTTCCTCTTGGGTTCTGTAAAACATTACTCCTCTTTGTCTCATTTTTATTAACTTTCTGGTAACACTGACTACCATGTTAAGCTCATTGGAGTTACATTCTATCCATGGGCAGGAAGATTGGATTAGTGGATATATGTTCCAAACAGTCAAATCCTCCAAGAATCAAGCCACTCAGTCATTTATAGATGATAACATGTACACAATTAATATAAAGTGAAAGGTTTTGTTTTTTTTTTTACTTGAAACCCTGAAAGGAAAAAAAATGCTAAATTTTAAATGTCTGTGAATTGGTCAATCTTTTAATAGTTAATTTCTTTTTTAGAATTTTGAGGAAATTTTAAAAGTAAAATGCATGTTCTCATCACCTAGAAATACATATTCTCTAAGAGTTTAAATAAATAAAATTGTTAGTGTAATACATTTAAAATGGAATTCACGTCATATAATGCTGAATCCCTTTCCCTTTATCCTCCCAGTAATCACCTCTCTCGGTAATTTAATATCTTTCCAGTCTCTTTTGGATACTTCTGTGTGTGTTGAGTCTATTAATGACATTATAATTCTTTTCATGTGCCTGTTGACCATTTGTATGTAATTCTTGAAGAAATATTTGTTTGAATCTCTGCCCATTTGTGGGGAAAGAGTAATTTCATCTTTAAAAAAATAACATTTTTGTTAATTCTTAGAGAATTTAAAACAAGATATCTTGATCGTGTTTGCCAAACACGCCCCCACCTCTGTGTCCTCCTATTCATTTGTTTGCTTGCTGTTTGTCCCTAGAAGAGCTATCTTACCACAGATCCCTGGTCCTCTGCCTCTTACAGTCTCTCTGCCCCATCTTCCTACGTGTTCCCTGAGCTTCAAATATGTGTTGTAAATATATTTGTTTATATTAAATTACATATACTGTTAATATAAATTTATTTATATTTATTATCTCATTGATAAAGTTATTAATTGTGGTGGGTCCCATAATTCATCTTTTTATTTGAGCTATAAGCATTCATAAATATTCAAGACAAAAACCCCACATCAGATACATGATTTTCTGTTTTTATTTACATTTTTAGGCTGTCTTTTCACTTCATGGCAGTGAATTCATGAATTTTATACTTATAGTTTTCATACATTTTCTCAAAATTTTCATTATCCAAATTGTCTTAACATTATCCCCTGTGCAGATAGATAGTAGACCGGGCTCAGTAGGCCATCTGCCCCGCCTACTGAATCCAAGTTCAGGATTCTCTTCATCCTGCACTGTGACATTGTTTACAAAAGCACAACCTCCCGTAGTTCATCTCAGTGGCTTCCCCAGTGAAAACTGAGCTGTGGTTAAGCAGAGAAGCATTTGTACCTAGAGTTTAAATGTAATAGCAGAAAGCTAAAGTACCCACTACCGTCACATGGGAGATAATGTACCCCGACAACTGAGCACATAGACAACAGTTTATGAGGCGTATAATGGAGGGGAAACGGTGGGTTTAATGTTTACAACGTGCCTTTTCTTTGTTCTGTTATATTCAGATATGCAATTCCCTACCAGTGTGCCCTAGGTACCTGCAGGGTTCAGTGTGTAACATACCATACAGGTTTCTATTGTAGGTATTGTTGTGGGCTTTCCTGCTGGTGCTTGTGGATATCCACTGAGTGGGTGTCACTGTGACGAAATTACCCGACCAGACATTGCTCAGAATGTACCGCCGTGGTTATGGGACAACTAACTGATTAAAATAGTAACCACTGACCATTGCATTCAGATGCAGTAAGATTCCTGCTCAACTCAACCTCACCTTTTCCTGCTCTTCCTCTCTTTCCATCTCTCCTTCCCATTTCTGTTTCAGATTGAAAATGGCGCAGGCTTCTGTCAGCAAATTGACATCGGAGAAGAAAGTGGAGACAAAGAAAATCAATCCCACTGCTAGTCTGGTAAGCCACGTTTTTCACCATGTCATGTCTGGGTTCCACTCCCGAGAGAAGGTGAATCTAAAGGACAAAACTCAGGGAAGAAATGGGGAATTGGTATCCTTTCTCCCATCGTAATACCATGCGGTTTAAAAACAAAAGGAGGCATGAAGGGGCAAAGCATGCTTTCATATGTTTCCACTGAAGACCCAACAGAGGTCACTTGGAATAAAGCAAATTACGTCACTTAGCATTTCATATCTGTCTCCGATTCTCTCCTTCCTATCTCCAGGTGCCTTCCTCCTGAAAGGTTCCTGTGTATTCCCCATCATTCTTCCCATTAGAGGAGGAGGCAGGATGTCCCCTAGGAGCTGCTAAGAAAGTTGAGATGCAAAAATGTACAGTCTGCCTAATGTCACTTGGCAAAGACATGAGGAAAGCCTGACCAGACAGGAGTGGGGATCTCCTCACATATGTTCCTTATATTGGAAGCCAGCCAGTCTCTTTGTGCTTCCCTGAGTCTGAGGAAGTTGTCCTCCGGAGTCCAGTGTTCAGTAGTGGTCACACAGTGATCCTCCACCTGTGTGCCACAGACTGGATTAGTGTCCGTTCCTGTTGCTGTGCTCAAACACTCCACAAAAGCAGCTCAAAGGGAAAGAGGGTTTGTTTTGGCTCCTGGTTGGAAGTTATAGTCCATCGTGGTGGTGAAGTCACAGACGCAGGAGCTCAGGACATCCGGGTACATTCTCCCCGCAGTCAAGAAGCAGAAAGCAGTGGCCACTAATGCTCGACTCACTGTCTTCCTTTTACATGACCCAGGATCCCATCCCAGGGAATGGAACCGCCCGTAGTAGGCAGGTCTTCCGACCTCAAGTTATCCAAATCAAGCTACTCTGTCGCAGGTGTGCCCAGGTGTTAAATAAATCCTCACAGGTGTGTCAGTAGGCTTGGCTCCCAGGTGATTCCAGACCTTGTCAAGTTGAAAATTAACATTAACCGTAGTACAGACAGCATTGCTGCATGATTGGGAACCCAGGATTATTGGGAAGGAGACAGCCCAGGTTTAAATCTCAGCATAGACCTAAGACCTGAGTAAGGTTTTTTTTTTTGTTTTGTTCTCAAGGGAACGAGGGCAATGATGATCCCACCTTATTTTGAGGCAACGGGAAGGGCATGTAGAGTACCAGTTATGTAATAGGGGTTCCGTAAACATTAGCTACTGTTCCCGCTTCCGTGAAGAGCAATAGTGGGGCAGTGGGAATATCTTCCTCCACGCTGTGTGGTAGGTGATGCGTTTTGTCCGAGGGGGAAAAAAAACAATAGAAATACTGTCACTTCTGTGGTACTTAGTACAATTATAACTCACCATTTCAGACCACAATTTGAGAAAGTTACCAAAACTTGAGACAAAAAAATGTTTAAAAAGTAGAAATGACCGTGGATCTGCTTTCTTCTTGAACAGAAAGAAAGACTGCGTCAGAAGGAAGCCAGTGTGTCCACCAGCTAAGATGAACACAGAAGGATAGCTCAGGGCCAGAGGACGCGGCCCAGTGCTCCTTTACACACCAGTGCCAAGGGGAGCTCCCGACAGATCTGTTACAGAACATTTGCTTTGCTTATCTCCTTCTGAGGTTGTCTGCAGGAAGTGCCCTGTGCCTTCTCTGAGGGGTCCCTTGTTAATCCGCGGGAACAATGCAGTGCTATGTATGGGGATATTACAGGAATATCTGATAATTGTTTCTTATAGACGTCCAAAGCCCACCCTATAAAATAATCAGAAGATATACCAAAATTTTTCGCATTTTAGTTTATGCTGAATTTCTAAGCTTCCCAGTGTCTAGCCACCATAGAAAAAGAGGTACCTCTTTTGTGGTGCATACCATGAGAGAACTCGAGCCTCGTTCCTCACACATTGTGGGTTTTTGTTTTGTTTTGTTTTTTGTATTGGTCTTAATCTTGACCCAGTTGTACCAAGATCCTATGGCATTTTCAACAAAAATGTTGAAACTTACCAGAACTGTTTTTGAAGAATTAACCTCACAGACTAGGAAAGTGATTTTTGATAGTGACAATTATGATATAATGAAAAGGAAAGAGATTAAGATTTCCCATGGGTTGAGAGAGAGAGAGAGAGAGAGAATAATAATAATCATAATTGCATCCTGGAGACTAAGTTATGATGCTAAGAGTGAACATTGCCATTGAGATCAGTTCACACAGCTAGCACGGCTTCCTGGCCAGTAGAGATTCTGTAACATAACAGGGCAGGACAGACTTGGACCAAGCGTCCGCTTGGGCAAGTGACCGTGTGGCTTCAGATCCACATGGTCAGTGACTGAGTGCTAAGCAGACAGGCAGATGAGGTCGACATGGTACTCTGCCACTTGCTACTTGGTCTCTTCCACCATTCCCAAGCAGTTTCCAGACAGGAGAGCAAATGTCAACTTTCATCATGGCCTTGACTCAAAAACATGTGAAGAAAGGGACCAGGAACCATTTGCTGTCCAAAACGTGATGGTCAGAAAGAAGTTCTCTACCGTAAAGTGCAAGCAAGGTAGTTGTGTTAGTACTAACCTCTGAATGGACTGTCAGGGGCAGGCTGTGTTTTCTTACTCTGGCCCTTAAATCAGGGAGAAAAGCCTCCTGGGACCCTTTTCCTACATTTTTACTCCCCAAGGCAACTGCTGTTAGAATTTCCCTGGTGAGGAAACAAGAGGACTGGGCATGAACTGAGGATTGGATTGAAGACTGTGTTCTTAAGCTTGGATGGAATGAAGGACTGTGCTTTCTTCTCTTGGTGGAGAGAGTCTAGAGTTACTCAGAATCTTGCATCCCTTGCTGATCTGGCTACCTCCGGCTGTCTTGTGGGGCCTGCCTCTTGTGTCAGCAACTTTCTCGAACCTTTGAACTTGCCAGATACCTTAAACGTCTTCCTGGAATCTGCCTACCAGTCATCACCTCCACCCCCCACCCCACTCAGGGACACTCTGAGAATAGATGCAAGGTAATGAAAGCATCACCATAGGCAGACATAGTGCAAACGGTGTGAAGCAAGAGTCGCTGGCTTCTACCAAGTCACAGACGCCACATCCATGCAGGTGCTAATTGTCTTTCAGTGACCCAAAGGAAAGGACGTGATCACGTGGTTAATTTTAATCAAAAGGAAGGGATGAGACAAAATAGACAATCGAATAAGAAACCTACCATGAAGAGAATGCCTTGGCATCGCTGTTCTTTTCCTGTTGCCTTTTGTATATTGTTTCTCTTCATTTTCGCTGTAACTATAAAGAAGAACAAAGGATTTAACCAACAAGGCAAACTGCAGTTGCGGACATTCTGTTCTCCCTGGCCTCCTTGTTAGTACTGAAGTGCAAAAGAAAAGTGAAAGTTTGTCTCTACCTCAGGAGTCATGCCAGTGTTCTGTCTGCACAGCCTACACCTGATGGGTCCTGGGGATGGGATGAGTGGAACAGGAGGCTTTCAGTGGGGTTGATGCCACCTCGGGTCTCTAAGATGTCCGTGAGTCACCACAGATGGCACTGTCTCTCTGTCCTTCCAGAACACAGCAGATCCTCCAGGCTGTTGGGAACCAGATCATATTGGGGTGGGGGCGGGGGACACACCCTTTTGTCTTCTAATATCTTAACTCTATTTTGTAGTACCCCCCCCCATATAAAAAGTCAAAGACAAAACCAGCTGGGGTAAAGATGCTGCAGAGACAGCTCAGTAGTTGAGAGCACATGCTGTTCATATAGATGGCCTGAATTTGGATTCCATTGCCCATGTTGGGTGGCTCACAATCACTGTAAGTATCCTGAGCAATCTGACATCCTCTTCTGTCCTCCATGGACCCAATGCACACACAGTCATACACATACCTACACACAAACATACATGTATGCACATAATTAAAAATTAAAATAAATCTTAAAAATCAAGCGGGGACATGATACAGCAAGATACATGAAAAAAAAATCGAAAGGTATACTTTCCCCCAACTATTTTATTTTACAAAGTAGTTTAAATTGTGTTAAAAATTTATAGTAGGAAGTATGTTTTCTTTTCCTTGATTTTCATTTTATTTTATAAAAGGAGGGGAAAAGTACCAAAAGATTATGGGAAACATGCCTCCATAGATTTGGTCATAGACAAATAAGTTTAATTATTGAATCACAAAACAGGAGCACACTATGAAATCCAAAGTGGTGTGAGTCCTGACTAAGCATGTATGAGACCGAATGGCTGTGATGAGCAGCCGCAAACCCGCCAGCCGTCTGCCTGGAACGGCAGCTGAAGTCAGGCTGTCTTTACTATGGATTTGAAAGAGTCAAGATTGTCTCGAAAAGCCACGTAGAGAAAGGCATGAATTCTAGAGCCAGATGTGTCTCTGTCCTTCCTCTGGATTCCCCTGAGGGAAGTTTACAAGTGAGTGGCATATCAGAAGACCACGAATATCAAAGTCCATAGTTTATCTCGTGTGGCTTGAGGGACCCTGCAGAAGAGTGAACTGATCTGTCACCCAGATCAGCTACTTTGTCTGCATAAGGGCATCTGCAGTGCAGGTGAACCGAGTCTCTTCCCAAACTGATAGAGTTGTGAAGGAAATTTCCGTCTCACAAAAGGGAGATAGCATCGGATAGGCTTTCATCTTCTAGCAGTGGAAAGCCGCTTAGAAGCTATGACCGATACAGAACGGACCTAAAGAAAAGCACCCCCCAAAACTCAATTCCGCAGCTCTTCCCCTCTAGTCTTACACAATTGTTCTTAATGCTGGTGGCACTCGGGTCCAGGCACAACCAGGTTCAGTTTCACAGCTGTATGTGACCAAGCTGCTTCCCCATTAGCTGTTGACACCTTGTAAGGAACCCTCATTATGAATTTCACCCTTCCTCACTCCCCTCCACAAGGATGGGCAATCTCCCAAACTCCCTTAAGATAACACTTGGCCGGAAAGTGGAGAATCTGAAAGAGGCTCAGCGCATGTCACACGACACCAGCTCAGAAGCCTCATTTGCTGCAATGCAGTGCCTTGTATCACACTTGGGGAATCTGAGTACTTAACAGCTTACTTGGATACATGGGCACATGAAAATGATAGCTTGCTGACTGTCTCTTCAGGTGTCATCAGGTTTCAAAAATAAACAAACAAACAAAACCTAGACAAGCAAAAGAAGCCATCCACTGTCCTCAAGCGGAATGTATTGGCCTCCATTTGCACTCTAGCTCAGCCCAGCCCATCTTCAGACACCCTAGAGATGACCAGTGCCATTGAGGCCTTTTATTCTCTGCTTTTCTCTTTGCTTCAGTCTGTCGCTTACGTGAACCCTACACTTTATTCCTTATTGTTGTCATCAAATACACGGTCTGAAGAAGACTGACCTAACTTCAGTTATGCCTTTGTTTTGCTGTTTTGCTGTTCTGTGTTGTTTTTCTAAGGAACAAATTGAGCCTACACACTCCATACACTACATACCTCATGCGACGCACTCTGTCCTCAGATAATTTTTATCTTGTGTATACAAGGAGTCTACTGGGGTCTGATTCGACTGCCTCCATGGATCCATGGTATTTTTTCATGGTTCCTGTGAGACATGACAGCCCCGGGCTACCAAAACACAAATGAGTCAGTAGGCTTAGGCGGAAATGAACACCCCAGGGAACAGACAGGCTCTACCACACTCAATAGAGTTGTCACCTAGGCTGAGTGTCACGCTCAGAACTCTTGCGTTCCCCACCTCAGAAGCTGCAAGAATGTCTTAGAGAGAATGTGCATCCCGTAAATAGTGTGGGTTTCCAAAGAGGTATATTTATGTCAAGTAAGAAATCAAGTGTATACCAGGAGCCGTTTGCCAAAGTCACACCTGCTCCCCTCCACTGTTCTCTTAGGGTTTTCTTCAACTTCCACCTTATAACGCAAGGTGTTCTTAATCGTTCACCTATGTTGGCTTCCCTACTTGATATTTCTCAAACAAAAGCCCAGGCCTAAAGACCACTAAGCACCCAGGGAGATTTCTCTGCCTCACCATGCATGACTGATAGATTTCAAAAATGAACAACTCTGGGAATCCATGGAATGAATTTTAATTCTAGTCTATAACCTTAAGGTGTGAAAAGGCCCCTAGGGCGTGCACAAATTGTCCTGCTCCCCCGTTGAAGGACCAAAGAGCGTTAAGAATGCTTACATTGTAGGTATGTTTTGTGAACTACAAATAATCTTTTTCCCTCATTTTTAGAGGGATGTACTTATTTTTGCTTTATGCGTATGTTTGTCCGTCTACATGTATGTATGTGTACCACCTGTGTGCAGAAGCTAGTAGGAGGCTGTTAGATCCTCTGGAACTGGAGTTACAGACAGTTGTGAGCCACCACGTGGAGGCTGGGAACTGAACCTGGATCCTCTGCAAGAGCAGCCAGTGCTCTTAAGCATTTCTCCAGCCTCCTTTTCCTACCGGCTCTTTCTAGATACAACCTACGTTTTTCATGTCTGGCCATCAGTCTCAATAGTGGTTCTGCACAGAGCCTGGAAGGCATTCACTACTCTTGGAAACCATTCCAAGTCTTGAAGTGATTCTGTCTGCAGTGATTTGAATAGAGTTTGTGAAGTCTACCAGAGGCACAGGTTTCTTTTAAAATCGTTAATTTTATAATTCTACTATTTTCCAACTTCCTGAGACACAAATACCATGCCTCACTGGCCTACTGACCACTGTGGGCATAATCTTTGAGGATTATGTGATTTAAGGGAAAAGGGTTTCCCTTTAAGGGAACAATCTAAGATAGTCTCCGAAAGGCAGAGCGTTTACAAATTAGACCCTGGCTAATTTTTAAGAGCCTTTAGTGGAAGCATGTCATCAATTCATCACAGTGTTTTCCGTCTGTGAATTATAATCCAGACTAGTGTGGGAAGCAGGCTCCCTGGACTTTGATTTAGGGATCATGTTTTTTTGCCTGGAAAATAAGCTTTGGCCTGCATGTCTAGAAACTCTCTGAAATCAGTTAGCGTCCTAATATGAGTCAGATGCCACAGAAATGTAAGTCGCTTTAACTCATTTATGGTTTGGCTCGGTTTGGTTTAGTTTTTCTTAGCACCACCTGGGATCACGGAAGCTGCTTCCTAAGATTCCCGTTGACTTTTGCAGTGTCTCCTGTCCACCTTCTGAGATCTCAAGCAGTAGGGGATGACAGAGGAAAACCAGGAAACAGGAGAGAAGAAACACTGAACGAATCCAGTGCAGTGTTTTTGCATAGCCTTTGCCATGATAGTACCAGGGGCATTTTTAATAGTAATGTAGGCCGTTTGTATTAGGCAAATAGGAGTGTCCCATGTTGTTATACAGCTCAATGACAAGACTCTGAGCCGACCCATGTTCAGCTCAGTAACATCCAGCTTCAGATTCTGCTACAAGGGTGACTCGCCCAAGGACCTTTCTGTGTCCTCTCTACCTGCTCACAAACCACAGCAGCAGCTAACATCATCTCGCTCTCCTCCATCCCATGCTTCATCTTCAACCTTCACTTCCTCCCCATATCATAGCCCCTCTCCTCCGAAGGGATCTCCACAGCTTCTCCTGGACCCAGCTACTCTGTCCTCTCCAGCGCAGACCCCGAATGCCCCTCAGCCCTCTCACGTCCCGTGCTCCAGCCTCCAGTGTTTGGACAGAGCACTACTGTCACCAAGGAGCCTGTGTGAGACACACTGCTGAGACTGCCTCTTGTTAATGTCACCATCACCTCATCACTTAGGCAAAGAGAGGGAAAATCCATAAAAGAGGTGGAAAATGCATTTCTTTTTTTCATTTCGTTCTGCTTTATTAAAGAGGTTGGGTGTTCTAGTTCTTGGTCTCTCGCAGAGTTTTAAACAGTCTAATTAGAGAACACTTTTGATCCGTCGGAGGAGCTATGACCAGCCTAAATCTCGGGCTCTCAGCTTTCTGTGCCGCTGGACAAATTGACCTCTGTGCAAGCATTTTGAATCCTAAGACTTCTTATTGCCACTCCATTCTTATTATTGCTCATGACTCAAACATCTACCACAATCTGAACTGGGATGTTGACGTTTTGTGGTTCTTTTCAGATTAACAGTAACTGTTATGCTCTTAAAAGCACTCATAGAAATGTAAGCATGTCCTGCATAGTTGACTATTTTGCCATGGTAAAATCTGGTAAAATCCCGTCTTTTTATTCAAATATTAGACCAATTCATAAGGTGTAACTTTAAGGAATTTTAAACAATAAAATAAAGATAGCTTTGGGAAGGAGAAGCACTTTATAGACATGGAACCTTATATTACATGTTCTTGGATGTTTTTAAGCATAATAAGCTAACTGAATTTGGGTATTTTCCCTTTAAGTTAAAAATAGTATGTATTTCTAATTGCATATTTAATTTTGTCAACCAACACTGACAAATGTTCATGAGTTGAATCTGTAAATGTAATTTGCAACCAAATGAAGTATTTATTTTTAAAAAGAAAAGGTGAAGGAACCAATATTGACTTGTACATACTGAAAATATGTGTGTATATAATTTTTTCCTTCTTGACACTGCTTGATCATTATATCAAGTGTATTTTTGTACATAATATATATTGGTTAGAAATGTCTATTGAAATAAATTCTATCTCTGTGATAGATTCTATTTATCCTAATCTATTGATATTCTGTTGATTTGTTTTAAGAGACAGAACACTATTTTTTTGAATTTCCAGAGAATTGCGTTCACTGCACTACTTGTGAATATGTTAAGGGTATTTTAATAAATCTTGGTTTCATGTCCCTCTGGTGTGTGATGGAGATGTTGTTTCTGCAGTCCTCTGATGCGGTCATCTCTAACTTGGGTTACTGCTCATTTCCAAGAATTCTGCTGGAAGTAGAGTCGAAGAGTGAGGTCTCCGTAAGGCCATCATATACCATCCCTTTCTCCCCAGCCACCTAATCAACAAAGGACAGTCTGGCTAAACATTCAAGACTAACAAAAGATGGAAATCCAGCTAGGTTTTATCCAAAACAGCACCACTAGAACATAAATTTCTCAAGGAGGAGACACGGGGATTGGTGACTTCCAGTAACAGGTGGAAAGTGATAGACTAGGGAAATGTAACAGAATATAGTTACATGTGTTCTGGCACCAAGCAGAGGTACAAGGTTTCTTTCTGGTTTTTGTTTCTTTGTTGTTGTTGTTTTCAGGCAATGATATAAAGCATAGTGATATTTTATAATTAACATAAAAGCCTACAGTTTAAATCAAAAATCACTTCCGCAGAAATTGTTTTTGATCAGCTCATTTGTTCAGTGTTAGTTTTTTATATGTTTGCCCAAATATGCCACATTATATGCTGTGACAACAATGCCAAGATATTACAATACTCGATCATCTTCTAAATTATGGAATCACTGAGCTGTGGGATTCTTGAGACCCTGGAGAAAATTTTATCTTTAGAAAACCACTGAAGTTCAGTAGGCTCACTGAAAACTATACCAAGATTATGAAATAGATCAAGACTGAGTCTTACTCTCTTGGCAAGGAAACCAAAGCCCTCTGCCTGCATGTTTTCTTCATTATATTGAACTTGCCTAGAAAGTTGGATCCAGATAATACGTCAAAAGAGAATACGCCGTGAATAAATTGGATTGAAACCTCCAGGAAGGCTACACTTGTTCAATATTGGAAATTTGAGCAATTTAATCCTCCAGAGAATTAGGATAATGGGAAAAGTGATCATCCTAATTGATGTCCCATAAAAGCATTTCATAAGATTTGTCAAGAATTGGTTATAAAGAATATATTCTTACCATAGTAGAATAAATATGCTAAGGACATATTTATCAAAAATATCACAAGCAAATATTATAAATAGTAGTGAAATGTTTTTTAAGTTTTCTGAGTGAAGCTGAGAGCAAGGCCAGGATGCCACTGTGATCTCTAGTCACTATCTTACTAAAATCTTAATGATTACAGTAATTAATACAAGTAAAAGTTTGAAAGCAATAAAATTCAACCATAGATAGCATTGAGCACATGTGAAATCCAAAATATCCCTGGACAAATTATTAGTTTTAAGTGTACAGAGGCTTTGGGATATAATGCTAGGTAAACAATATATGTAGAGACAACCAACAAGATAGTTTTTAATTGTCCTTTAGAATGGCCTAGAAAATTGACAAGCATGCTAATAAGTACCACTTCTTCATAGTAACATATCTACTGGTAGAAGAAAGCGTGGGTTAAACACTCCCAATTTTGGAACAAGCAAGGTTTTTCTAAGAAAAACTCCAGTAGCACAGAAAATAGCCCCAAGAATGGGCAACTGGGAATATGTGGTGAAGAGTGTCTGCACCACAGAGGAAACTATCGCCAAAGTGTGTTGGCAGCCTGCAGCATGGAAACCCAGATGCAACGTTGTGTATATAGATGGTGCTTTGGCTGCAAGCAACAGAGAATCACTCTGAAATCCACCTGGAAACTTCCTCCTTGCTTGCCAGCTTTTATAGTACTGGGAGGTGCTGTGCAGTTTCCTGGCGGAGAAAAGTCATCCGTGGTGACCAGTGATGGACCATGCATGTTGCACTACCAAAGTGCTGGGCAAGAGATGCTCACTGGTGCAATAGTGGCATGATTGCTGGGTAGTAACATGGCTTTCTGACTGGACCTTAGACCTGTTCCACAAGAGAAAATCTCATGTCTGGTGCTATAACCTGGTCAAAAGTCCATGATCACAGGTTCTGGGGTGGAACTAGCTGTTGTTATTTTATGAAATGGTCATGGGCACACATTGCCTTCTTAATATTTATGCTTGTGGTGACCGTATGCCCAAGGTTGCTCTGAATCTAGGCTAGATCAGATTCTTTGCAGTGGGCAGCAGCTGATGGAGAGAAGATGTGTAATTGTTAAGATGCTAAAAATAAAAGACCGAGTTTCTCAGCCCCAAATGAAACACCCATACAGTTGAACCCTGGATTTTCTTCAAAACTTCAGACTTTGTTGAGAGAATGTTCTGGGGAAAAGAATGTCCAGCAAGCAGAAGATCTGTCCTCCTGAGCCATCACCTCTCCGGATCACCCTTCAGGTTGGTGAAGAGCTCCTCTTGGCAGCAACAGAATTGAAAGCTTCAGCTGTGGCTGGAGTTCATATTTCAGAACCATAAAGTAGAAAGAAATGGTTTATAGCCTAATACTTGATATCCAAGGAATTGATTGAAAACTGTCTGGAGCATCTGATAGATGTGTTGACATAAGAGGTCAGACTGAAGTCCATTCCCACACTGCAAAGATGAGCTGCACCCCAGAAAGCAAGAGGGTGGGGGTGAGGGACCCAGCCTTTGTTGGTTGTTTTCTCACCTTCCTCTGAACTGCATGCGTTAGAAGCCTGTCTTCTGAAAGACGCTGGAAGGGCATTCCCGGCGGACGGGTCAGGGTTTGCACTGTAACTGCTACACCCGTTTGTAAAGGTTTTTGAAAGATTGTCTTATCTTGCTGACAGTACAGGGGTGGGGGCAGAGGTGGCTGGGATGAGGTCTGATAAGAGAACCAAGCCCTCAGGAAGGGGTGCCCAGGTCTGGAAAATTTTTCTTTTACCTCAGACTAAAGATGGTGCCTGTCAGGCCTCTGGGTACCTTTAGTTCAACTTCATGCTAGAATATGAAGGATGGGACCACACAGACTGCTTTGCAGGTAGTCCCTGGGCTCAGGTAAGACTTCGACCATGGCAATGCTTTCTATGTTGTGTTGGTATGAGCTTCTCCCCTCTTCAGTGCAGGAGGCAGAGACAAGGGGAAGCCTTGCCTGGCTCAAAGCAATGAAAACTTGCTGAGACTTGAACCTTTTCCCACCAGCAGCCAGTGTCCTGACCAGAATGGGTTGACTTCTTGGGGGCTATCATTTGTAGTTAGACACCCCTGTGAGTGAAAACTGGGCCAAATGGTTTCCGCCTTTCAATTGGGAGCCTACTTTATATTGCTTGGTGGCAGTCACTGAGAGAGGTTCCCGAAGGCTACTTAACTCCTCATATCTGGTCCACTGGATAAAGTCGGGTTCACACTCGCACCTCCACAGGCACAGTGAAATTAAACTCTGTCACCTGATGGCTGACACAGGCTATGCCACCTGGAAGAACAAGAAGAAATCGTTCACAGAGGGACAGTGGCATAGCAGCCGAGGAAGGAGCTCAGATTAGAGTTTCTTCACTTAAACCAAACTTTATCGGTGCTTCACTATGAGGGATGTTCTGGAGGGAGCATTTGTATGGCTGAGACTAAAAGCCAGAATCTTTGTTTCAGGGTAAAATGACTGGATTGAAGTTCCTACCCGCAAGTAAAGCGGCTTTGTTTCCTTAGAGAGAAAGTGCACGGAACTGCCTGGCCCCACTCATAAGCTACTGGCAAGGTTTTGGCCTTCGTTGAACCACCCCAATTGCCTATATATAGCCTTGTCTTGCTTAAAGAATTTAAAAAGCATTAGAATGCAGAAATCAAAGAGACAATAAATTTAAAACCAATCTTATTGTCTGCAGTCTAAAGTGTTATTCAGATCAAAGGGGAGGGGACATCTGGCTTCTGGCTTGCTACAAAAGGCAGATCACATTACCTACCAATAGCAGGATTCATCTACTCTCTCATATTCGGGGGGCTAAAGAACACGGCTTTTCAGCCCTCGGGGAAGCAGTTTGGGGGAGTCAGTCAAACCTCGTATAATCTCAAAGAGTAACACGCTCCATGGGCTCCTACAATATATATATATATATATGTGTATATATATATATATACATATATATATAGTGATAACTTTGTCCCTGAGTGTAACTCCTCGTCTGTGAGGTCTTCAACAACTCAAAGCCATGGCCAAGCCACTGTGGTCAGTAGTCTGTGATCCAAACCCCTTCGAGACCCAAGTCCCCAAATCAGAAAATTCTGGTTCTCGTAGCTAACTTAATAGTTGAGAATACACTTTAGTTGCGCTATTTGAACTAGTTTTGATGTCCAAGTCACCATTGGGGACGGAATCACTGAACGTTTGCTATATTCGTTTCCCCCTCCATTTTTGTTATAAGAAAGCAAATTTGTTTTATTGTAAATGATTCAGTTTTAAGAGAAATAGAAATGGTGCTCCCTGCCTAGACATGTGCTTGTATCTGTACAAATTCTCGATTCCCTCCTGAATGGGGGGGGGGAAGCATTATAACAATGTAAAAGCCTTTCTCAGTATTAAAAACTAGGGTGTCTTCAGTTAGCACACACGTATGACTCTACCATCAGCAAACTCCCCACACACAGAATATCTCCTCCTTCAGATTGTTTCAAAGTGGGGTGATCGATGAAGCATCCGCATTAATATTTTCCAATTACTCAGTACCTCTCCCCAGTTCCTCACCCCAAAAGTGTAGAATAAACTACAAGCAATGTCAATGAATCTATTCTGGGGCTGCCCATAAAGCTCCTAGCAGCTTTTAAGTGTGGGTTAACACAATCGATTTGCTCCGTGATGATGCAGGTAGACAGGATTTCTGGTTAGAAATCCCCATCGCTTATCCTTCTCCGTCTCATGTTTTCATTTCCTTACACTACATTTTTTTCCCTGCTAAATCTCAATATCTCTCCTAAGTGCCTTCTAGAAGCTGACAAAACAGAACAAGATCGTCAGTCCTTAAGTCTTGCTTTGGAACCTTGCGCCTCCTCTTTTCTTCTCTCTTTTCCCAATCTTCCAGGTGAAGGATTTTTTTCACAACCAAAATCAAGAAGAGAGGTGACCAAGACACGGCCATGATCTCAGCCCGATAGCTTCC